GATGTGTTAAAACAATCAAGAAAATAGATAACTTGTTGTAATATTCATATGGCAGGAACAGGTAGCTCAGATATTCAAGCAGGCCGCCTAAGGCTTAAGATATTCAGTTCTGTTTAATTAAATATATTAGTAAAATAGGTAAAAACAATAACTTTCATATTGTAGTTCAAAAGAGTCATCGGAAATCCTTGGAGGTCGATTCTAAAATAATCATTTGGTTGCTTCTTATTTATTCGCCATTTTGATTCATATTTTCAATTAGTATCAGAATAATTCTATACTCTTGGTAAATGATGAAATTTAAGAAATCCCAAATTACAGTCTGGGGTTATGGATAATATTAAGTTTTTCATTGAGATCATGAACCGACTGATGTCAGAACACCATTGAAAAACTGGAAGCACTGGACGGCCGTTTCTTCCTATTGTGGGACTCCACAGCAGTGCAAATCCACAATCCCCACTCACAGGATTCAAACCCACAGTTGGATGCCGGCTCAGTGGTCTAAAGGTTAAGCGTTCGTGCGCGAAACCGAAGGCCCTGGATTTGAATCCCACGTGAGAGTTCGTGGATACACACTGCCAAGGAGTCTCATAATAGGACGAAACGGCCGTCCAGTGCTTCCAGGTTTTCAGTAGTGGTGTAACATCAATTGGTTCATGATCTCAATAAAGAAAATTCCAAATATTTTAATTCACCCTAAAATAACTATAAACTACAGATCAAAACCACCTTAAACATAATTTCATCTGAGTTTGCTGGTGTCATTACCAAGGTTTGACTTGATAATTTTAAATACATCTAGCATTAGGTAAATTGTCGATAATAAAAATAATATTCCGATGAGTTGAAATATTAAATTTTTCTAACGTTTCATGACTTAGTTTATACTACTTCTTCAGAGAATAAAGTTTTAGAAAAAGCGGCTCATACTGAGTTAAAAAAACGTCAGAAAATCTCATTCTTTTACTCTTTGTAATATTACAAAATAGATTGTTTTTATTAGAAATTCAACCGTTTTATTTTTAAATCTTACAGTTTTCACGAAGTTTTCCTCAGTGGTAACAAAGAAAAACTTGTAAACATAAGGAAGCCTTATGTAAACCTTGTTTTGTGGTGGCAAAACATTACACCTCAGAATTCGCTTTTACACGAACCTCATAAGATCGATCCATTGATTGATTAAATTTTCCCCTAAGATTCTGTTGAATAAGCTGTGTCTAGTTAGTCATGATACTCACATAGTCGATATTTGATTTTATCACACTTATACTCAAACTATGATATGACAATGTATCAAAACAATTTACAATTATACTTTAAGCATTACTGATTAAAATGACCCAAAAAATTGTAAACAGAAATTCACTGCGATGAATATCGGTTCCTAATTGAAATCGAATACCCCTTTCTATACAGATATTTATACAGGTAAATTAAAAAAATATATCCAATGAATTGCATTCTTTATAAAGAAAACGATGGATTCAAATCTATATCATAAAGTGCTGGATGATTTGTATATTACACTATTGTTATCAAACTTGAAACCCTTGAGCAATTTATTATTGTCAATGTCAGAAGGGGTTTTTTGACGATTTTAGAAATTTCACTGGTTGAAATCATAGTCAATTGAAGCTAGACCACTATGAAAAACCTAGAAGCAGCAGACGGCCGTTTCGTCCTAGTATGGGACTCCTCAGCAGTGCGCATCTACGATTTCGCATCTGGCGAGATTCGGACCCAGGACCTATCAGTGTCGCGCCAGGCGCTTGACCAACTAGACCACTGAGCCGGCCGGCATCCAACGACGTTAATGTCTAACTTCAACTAATCCACGAAGTTGAGCCAACGTAAACCACTGTCCTCAGTGAGTTGATATCTCACAACAGACCTTGTCGAACTCCACTATTAAAGGCTTCTCACTAGAACTCCATTAAATGCCTCTGGAAGTCATTCACTAGTGAGCAGATGATTATTATGAAAAAGGGTTTTGTGGAAATGTATTTTTTGGTGTTAATTTGATGTTGACTTGTAAAATAATCTCTAATTTAAATTTTAAATCGTTTGATGTAAACTGTTTTAATGAAGTTGACAGTACATGTCAAAGCAATTTACTTTGTTATGTTCTCATAAACATGCTGTTAACATCAAAGTATTAACCTTGATTCTTTATCAGTTCATTATAACTAACGCTATCTTGATAACAAATCATTGGACAGAATGAGAAGTTTGGTTTAACTAGTATAACTAAGAGTTTTCTAAAGATTTGCATCAAATATTTACCTTTCACGGTGATTACATGTTGTTTTTTTCAAGATTCGATTCATAAATGAAATAGATTTTAAAGAGGAAGAATGTATTTGTAAAATCTCAGCGAATGAATTTGAAGAAAATTCAACGTTTTGCTTAGCAATCTGGTTCAAGCTTTTTCAAGGAAAATATAATCAAACATCAAAATTATCGAATATAAATAGGTACATAGTTCTGTATTTTACTGTATACTGAATAAAGTCATCCAATCAACGTGAACAATGTTTAAAGTACATTCTTCCTCTTTAATGTCTCACATTAACTCAGCGCCCAAATATTGTGAAACTATTCGTTCAAATTTAGACTAAAGTTCTTATTGAAATAGATTTTAATTTATATATATATACTCTGGATAATCTTATTACTAATATGATGGTACTTATTGAATAGGATAATGATATTATAAACTTCCAATGGTTAAGATCATGAGTCAGTTGAAGATAGACGACCATGGAAAACCTGAAAGCACTGGACGGCCATTTCGTCCAATTGTGGGACTTCTCAGCAGTGATATTATAGATATAATAAACACTTAAATATAATCGATAAGAAGTTTTGAACTTCAAATGCTGATTTTTGAGAACCATCAACAGTAAGTATCTGAAGTGTTAAAGGAAATATTATACTTTATGATATTCAAATCCATGTCATTCAGCGTTACAAACAGTGGCACTACCACCAATGAGTAGTTTATGTGGTTAATCACTTAAATAATCAATATTTAGAAGAAAAAAAATACCTGAACTTATTGTATGTTATCAACTTCTAATTAATAGTTTTCTGCCTATACTAATGCAATCAATCTTAATGCGAATTCATTTTACCATTTGTTTACATTATCGTCTTATTAAAAAAATGAAAGATAAGTGGATTAAAAAGTGCATAGTCAATTAAACGAATTCGAGGTGTTTACAATCTACCTTCATAGCTTTAAAAATAAACATAGAACTTATAAACAAATAATCTTATGAATGTTTTCTTAAGTTATTTAGAAAGATCGTCTTTTTATTAAACTAAATCTATATATCAAATTCGAATTTGATCAACACTTTCCTGATATAAAGTATAAACACTTACCCTTATTGAATAGTTGGGTTCATAAGTCGATTAAAGCTATATCACTATTGGGAACCTATAAACACTGGACGATCGCTCCATCCTATTATGGGACTCTTCAGTAGATCGTGTTCACGATCCCGCTTTTGTGATTCTAACCCGTAACCTTCGATCTCGCACGTGAACGGCGTCCAGTGCTTCCGCGTTTTTCATGAATTCAACTATTAAATTACTACAATCTTCATAAAAATTCACGTACCTTTATCTTTCTTAATTATTACTGTTTTTAGGCTATGTACAACTTTATTATTCGTACTATTTTAATGAATTAAAAAGAAAAGTGGATTTCTAATGTTTCACTGTTTATTCGTCTTTATAGTTTTAAGTTATGTTTATTTTCATTCGTTTATTTATTTTCTGAAGAATCAACTTATACTTAACAGCAAAATATCAGAAATTCAATTTCCTTCTCATATATATATTAAAGTATATTTCTTTATTATCATAAACAACAAACTAAATAATTGATTTATCCGAAATAATTGAGTTAAACCTTAGTAAGTTTTATTTCGGTGTATTCTACTTATGTTTGGAAACATAAGTAGTATGTAATACTATTTGGAATTGCATTGTCTGCAAGTAAAAGGTTGATAATATTGACATGAAGAGAAGAGAGCAAGAAACTGAAAGCAATAAAGATAACAATAGGAATGAAGGAATAATGAAGCTTGTAAGGTACAAGTAATAGAATATGTGCAAAGGATGTATTTGATGTACGATTTTCATATTTTACTAAACTACTGTGTGACTGTGTTGTATATAATAAATTAGTTCTCTCCATCTAAGTGTTCATTCAAGATTGTACAGGATTGTACAAAAGATACTCGCTTAATTTACTATCAACTTTGTAGAATACCATTATGATATTTTGAAGAACATTGAGTTGATTTTCCATGCTTAAATTATATACCAAGATTAGATGGTGGTTGGAGGTAGTCTATGGCACTCGTCAGTAAGATGTACCTGTAATCTTGAGGGAACTGGTGCTCCCTGGCGGATTCGATCCCACGTCACTCAGCTTCACAGTCAGAGACGTTACCACTGAGCTTTCCGAGCCGCAACTGACCTACCGTAGACTGGTGGCCACATTGCAACATGGTCGATAGCATTCGATCTGCACTAAATAAGGACTTGGCACACATGAGATTGATCACAATCCAGTGATCAATCAACTGTGTATTATAAATACCAGGATATATTTATCAATGAATTCAGTAAGAGCTTAAAATCATTGGATATTTGAAAACGATTGAACTACTTTAATATAAATACTTCTATTGAGTATATCAATAATTGAAACTGGTATATAACACTTCCATGGTTAGTCGTTAACAGAAACTTGTAGTATACTAAAATGAATTCATACAACTTAGTATTTATAGTTACGAGAAAATGACATAACAACATACAGAAACTTAATGAATTTAAATGCAAGGGTTATGTGAATCTAAGTAATCTTATGAGGACTGTACCACATTTTAGAATGAACAAAATCAAGTATCAATAATCAATATATGGATAATAAATAATAATAATAATAAGTTTATCAATAATAATGTGTAATGATTTACCTTTTGTAATACTTTTGGATATATACAATAAGAAATAAAATTGATTAATTGTTCTAATGTATTTTGTTCATTTGAATCATATGAATTATATATATCTTGTATTTGTACATATTGTCCACAATCAAAGTAGATACGTAATCTTTAAATAAATAAATAAATAAATAATGAAATGTATTATTATTTACTAATCATATAATGTAATTAACTAATCATCATATTCATCGGTTCTAATCTACATTTCTATAGTGTAAGAAGAAGATAACTCTGCCTGTAGCTCTTCTAGAATTATTACCGGTCCCAAGCCCAGTTAAAGGAGGAGGGTTGGGTATGGTGTTAGCGACCTCATCCCGTAGAAAACTAACTCGCTAAGAAAAATGACGCCAACTAGAAAAAATAATTCAGTAAGTAAGTAGCAAGGAGACGAAGATTATCGGAATATGTGATATATAAGAGAAATACCATGATATAGTGAGATCTACTATAGCTTTGGCGGAAAAACGCCTGTCTACATCATCTTACCATTTAGCGGTGTTTCAAATAGCTTTTTATTCATACAAAGGATTAAACCTGTCATTAACTAGACTTATTGTGCAGTAAAGGTCATTATCAAGGAAGCAACAAAGTTCATGGTTCATCGAAAACCAAAACGACAAGAAAACGATTACGTCACATCCTATAGTGTTTACCAATTTAAATGTGTGTGTGTGTAGTCACACGTACATAGGGAGGAGTAATCGTGATTTTAAAATTAGTGTGTGAACATGTATCTAAATGGTTGCAGAAACAAAAGGAATCGAATGACCCAATAAAATTAGAGGATAAACATCTATCATCCTCTATCGGCAAACACATAATCGAAGCAGGCCATAAAATTGATCTTAACTCGGCTTTTGTGGCGTTGTACAAAGGTGTAAAAGGGTGTATACTAAGGTTTATTGAAGCCTTATCCATATGATACCTCCTTTGTGTATACAAAAACAGTTTGCTCTCACCTTAAACCTACCCTGGTAATACTTGCTTATTATCCACAGTGATGAGGTTTCAAATTTTTTTTCACACCATGTCTTTATTATCCTTATCTCCTCTTACTTCTCATTTCTTGTCTAGTTGACATTTTATTTTTATATATAAATGTTCTTAACAAAAGTATGTGTGATCAGATTGAGCGCTAATATATCATCACATAGTTCTGATAAACTTCGCCTACTTATTACACTATCGCAAATTTATCAATAGGGACTAATTGCTTTAAATTTCTTTAAAGACCCCATGCACAATCTAATCTAAATTTCTATAGTGTTTGCGTAAAACTATTTCTTTTTCAGCAATGATGACAGTGTAATAAGCGAATGACTAATTGTATTTCAGTCTTGAATATTAACAATGAGATAATTCAAGCTCTAATTATAATACTATTGACAGTACAGATGTTGAGAAAGTGTTAGTGGATATCTGTATACAATAGCTTAGTGAATAAATAGTTGGTGTTTAAAATGGGAAATAGTTAATTTAAATTACAGTATGAACATAAACACTGGCATGAAGGTACATCTAACTGACGAGTTTTATCAAATAAACAGTCAGTCAAATAAATTTAATCGAGACAACAACCTAGAGATTACTATCGATGAAGAATGTCGAGTAGTATTAGACGGGGTTTTGTGGAGATTATAGTAATTTCAATAGTTGAGATCATGAGTCAATTGAAGCTAGACCAACATGGAAAACCTGGGAGCAATGGACGGCCGATTTACCCCATTCTTGGACTCATAAGCAGTGCATATCCACGACCCCACCCGGCGGGATTCGAACCCAGGACCTGTCAGTCTCACGCGCGAGCGCTTAACCACCAGACCACTGAGCCGGTATCCAACAGTGTTGACGTCAAACTTCAACTAATCCACGAAATTGAGCGAGACATTCGTCATTGTCATCAGTGAGTTCCTATCTCACAACTGACTCGGTTGAACAAAACGGCCGTGCAGTGCTTCCAGGTTTTCCATGTTGGTCTAGCTTCAATCGACTCATGATCTAAACTACTAAAGAATGTTGAGGTTTGTATCAGTTGAAATAAGAGAAGTACAGATAACCTGGATTTTCTAGTCATGTTGTTAATAGTAGTTCAATAATTCAAACAACCAATAAATTAAATACCTGAAATAAAATCTCTACTTTCATTTCAATCGCAATTTATTCATACTGCATCATACCTTTTCACCATTCCTGAAAAGATGTTATCTTTCTGTCAGTTTGATTAATTTCACAGATAGTACATAATCGGTATAAGATTTTAGTTTATCACTCGAACATTACTAAACTAGTCAACTGAATAACACGCCTAGAAGTTATTGAGATTAGATGGTGGTTGAAGGTGGTCGACAAGAAACCCTGGACCCGGCTTTCGTGCTACTTGGCATTCGTCAGCAAGGTGTACCTGTGATCTTGAGGGAAATGATGCTTTCTGGCGGATTCGATCCCGTGCCACTCAGCTTCACAGTCAGAGATGTTACCACTGAGCTATCCAGGCCGCGACTGACCTCCTGTAGTACTGAGATGTAATCACAATTGATTGATCACTGGGTTGACTACCTCCAACCACCATCTAATCTCAATATATAGTGCACGCAGTATCAAATCACCTAGACTGGTGGTCACATTGCAACATGATCGATAGCATTCGATCTGCAATAAATAATGACTTTACAAGCATAACATTGATCACCACCCAGCGATCAATCAATTGTGGCGCCTAGAAGTTATATTTACTCTATATATACGAATATCAATTAAAGAAATGTTATTTTAAAAGTGCTTTCATATAAACTCTTGTAATACATACCAATTTATAATATAAATCCAACAACAATAACAACAAACAACAATAGGAAAAACTCACACTTTTCTATTATGTTCAAATAAACAAGCAAATATTGATGTCAATGGGATAGCTAAAAGAATTTTATTAGCTAAATCTGATGATATAGTATATGGAGCAAAAATGACTAACCAATTTCGATTAATACCAATTTGTGTTTCAAAATAATGATTATTGGTTAAAGGTCTATAGACAGAACCATCTGTTGAATATATATCCTTACTATTATTATTATTATTATTTAATAATGATGATGAATTGGGTAATAATTCCATGACTGAATGCCATCCATCTATTTTTTGCCATTTTTTTAAACCAACATATAAACTTTGACCAAAATCAAGTAAATTATGAAATGTATTTGATAAATGAATATATTCATTAGATTTATCTAAATAATTTCCATGATAATCATAATTTGATTTTAATAATTCAGAATGATTACGTTTTACAGGTTGATGTATTTTATATAAATCATCAAATGATTTTGGATCATTAACATTATTATTATTATTGTTTTGTTGATTAAATGGTATTATTCTATCAGAATGATATTTTATAGGCATGAATTCACGATCTATTGAAGATGAGGTTACATTTACACGAAATTTTATTGAATTTTTTAATTGTTTTAATTTATCTTGTGAATGTCTTCGATATAAATGCATTTTACCTGAAATAGAAAAAAAAAACAGTTAAAAAGAGGACATGAAGAAGAAAGGAGAGAGAGAGCGATAAAAAACACATTCTGTTCATTTTACGAGTATGAATGATAGGTTTTTGATTGTGATCATGAACCGATTGATGTTAGACCACCATTGAAAACCTGGAAACACAGGACGACCAAATCGTCCTATTGCGGGGCTCCTTAGTAGTGCACATTCACAATCTTGCTCGCGGGATTCGAACCCAGGGACTTCAGCCTTGCGCGCGAACGCTTAACCTACTGAATCACTGAGCCGACCATCCAATCCACGAAATTTTGCAACCATCTTTCATTGTACTGAGGTACATACCTGTTTCTACCCGACACGGATTAGCTTCACTGGTCACGGCTTCTCACTAGACCTTTGAGAATTCCCTCACGAAGCTAGTCACTAGTGAGCATATGTTAATTATCAGTATAGGGGTTGTGGAGATTATTAGGCTGTGACCAGTGGAGCTAATCCGTGTCGGGTAGAGACAGGTATCTACCTCAGTACAATGGAAGATGGTTGCGCAATTTCGTGGATTGGTTGGCGTTAGACATTAACACCATTGGATGCCGGCCAGCTCAGTGGTCCAGTAGGTTAAGCGTTCGCTCGCGAGACTGAAGGCACGCTGCTGAGTCCCACAATAGGACGATTTGGCCGTTCAGTGCTTTCAGATTTCCAACGGTAGTCTAACTTCAATCGGTTCATGATCTCAATGAAAAATTTATTAATCTTCACAACCCCTATACTGATGATGATAAGTTTGTTGTTTGTTTGTTTTGCCAGGCATTAATAAAATCTAGAGAAGTAGTATAGATTAAAGAGTTTTGCAAAGTATAAAATTTCTGAAATATTGTATACTCATAGAAAAAGTTGAATAAAAACTAAGCCATTTTAAAAATTAAATAAAACTAAAGATTCGGATGCTCCCAAATGACCTACTACGACAGAGGGTCAGGAAGGTCAGATCTTCCTATCGAAATGCTCTTATATGTTCATGCGTAAACAACCACTGTAAGGAAACCCATACTCGCTACCTTCTAACAGCATTACTGTTGTTTACGAAATTGAGAGGATGAAAAGTGAATATCCGGTGCTTTAATCGGGTTGGTGGATATGGAGGATCCACTAAGTGGAATTAAAAAACCCTGATTCCAAACAATGGTGCACATGGACTCCAGGATCCTGAGGAAATAAACGGCTTATGAACCAACCGTTGGTCACGGGCTACGATGGAACTGCATCTCCTAACGTTGCTCCATTGACTTGTGAATGAGACCTTTAGGTAGAAGGCTTCGTGTGTGGCCCCTTACCCGGGCAGTATCACAGCCCACACACAAACCAAGTGACTTGTGTGGCGCATATGTATTTGATGCCTCTTTATACCAACATTTTTGTGTTCAAATAAATAAATAAAAGGTGCGGATTTATAAGTATTTAGATTTTTAATTTTATCTTTGCTGAAGATGCGTTGAACACTTATGAGCAATATTTAACAAATATGAAATATTGTTGAAATCATGAATCTAAGTTAGACGACCATTTAAAATCTGGATGTACTGGATAGCCATTTCATCTTACTATAAAATTGCTTAGTAATTTACATAAATGACTCCACTTCCAAGATTGGAACCTAGAAACTTCGGCCTCGTGTGTTAATCCTTAATTTCTTGACTATTGACTTAAAATCCAATGGTGCATCTAACAATGACTACTCATGTATACTGCAGAGGAACATCTTATTACTGACTAAATAATAACGACATTATCTATATCTGATTTGTATTTTTAAAAAAATTGGAAAAACAACCTGTCATCAATACATTGAAAAGATTTTCAATTTAAATTTGGATAAGAGTCGAAAATAATTTCAAATGTGGAATACTAAATATAACGGAAATTAGTTGCATTGACAGTAGTTGCTTTCATACCAGTAATTATTCAAATGTTACGATTATAGTGCGTAATTTCAGTAGATTCACAATTGATTTGTTTTTTAATGATAGATATTATGTACAATGTAAAATATAATCATGATATAAAGACTAATGAAAACATGAACATGGTTGATGCTGGCTAGTAGTGTAATCCGGGAGGCGTAGTTCGTTCTATTCGGGTCTCGCCAACTACATGTACCTGGATTCTAGAGTTGCATTCTCTTCAACTGCCTTCGCATCATCTGTTTAGCTACTGGGTCTAGATAACCCACCAGCTTATGCTTATGACTTAAGGCAGTGTCAAGGTGGTTCTCACAGGATGTAAATATACCAATAAGAGACTGATCAATTTCAATCCTAAATACCAACAGGAAGACTCAACACAACCAATACAAAATCATGAACATGGTTGTTTGAAAAATATAGTTTTGACAAATTACTTTGTAGTTTCAAATGATCAGTAAGTAGTTACAAGTCATTCTTTGTTCATATTGGTATACAAATATACAATATAAATTATTGTCAAGAGACAATTAAATGTTTCAATTGACTAAACATAATTTTTTCTTACCATGTTTTAAATTCTCATTGTCTGTATTAATTGTATGTTCATTACAGAATTGATGAAGATAGTCTCTTCTTGAACGTTGCATAATTTCACGAAATTTTGAATATTTCAATACAGCATAAGCTGCATTAATAGCTATAAAAAATAGAAGTTCATTGAGATAAAAAACAATTATTACAGATTAGATGTAACAATATTGTAGTGTATGCTACTTACGTCGACAAACGTAAGCAGTATGAACACTAATCGGTAGAGGAATGCATGGCAATAGGAAGCGATGAAGGTCAACTTTAAGAAAACGGAAACGAAAATGGAAAGCAATTGTGACTTGAAAGAATCATACAAAATGCGAAGCGCAAATAATAGAATTTTGCAAATGAAGGTTTCAATGTTTGGTTCTCGTATTTTTGCAAGAGATTTTGTGATTTTCTGGTTATCCCCACGTACAATACTATAAACCAATGAATGGACTCATTTATTATTGATTTACCATTGACATGGGGGGAAATCAAATAAAGTATCATGTGCCCCGCTTTCAGCTATACTGTATATATGATGACTACTACTACTACTAAATCGAGACATGAACTAATAATCTAATCGGTGGAATTCTAATAGCTTAACCAATAAACCATTGCTCTCAATATATGAAGTATATCTAGTCAACAAGTACACAAGTAAAATTGCACTCAAATGTAATCGAATCATTTATTCTGTATGTAGAAGAAATTCACCCGACCTTTGTTGCTACCGTGATGTGGTGGTCGAGCTTACCTATCATGATGAACTGATCGACCTATACTGGCTGAAACAATCGTTCCTCAAGGTCCTAACATGCCAAACAGGTCAGTTGAAGAGCGATAAGACTAAAAGCAATAAACCCAAGGTCCGAAGGCGAAGTCGTACTGCTGACTGTACAGAAGTGTGACGGCAATAAGGTGCTTCCTTCAGACAACCAGCATAACAGTGATGCTGCCTTCCAACAAGGAGGAGTGGGGTTAGGAAAGGTCGACCCTAAAAATGCACACCTCGCCTTATCCCACGGATATCCGTCTCCGGCGGTAAGGTTTTAACAAGTACGGAGCTAACACGAAAACTACCCACAAAAAGGTCATGTGTGACCGACGTCAATCAGTTGTCCCTTGGGCACTGCGGTCACGCTCTCAGGTTACTAAGACCACTTCCAATCCAATTTCCTTTCCAGTTATCTCCAGAAGAACCCTTCCACAGTGCGGGCAGCCGGGAAGTGATAACCGCCCTCACACCTCTAACACCACTCAAGACCACTGTATTCATAACCAACCTGACTGAGAAGAAATTCAAGAGTTAAATACAATTTATTTCATGCGTTTGAAACTAGGACGACAAAACTTTGATTTTCAGTAATTACCAAGATGAAATCAGCTTATTGTTGTTCACTGCTTTTACATAAACAGCTTTTTGAAAGTAACTTACTTCAAAAAAAAGAAAAATATTTTTATCTATTTTGTTAAATAGTCAGAAAATTACCTTGTAGAGTATATGAATAACTTAGATTATTCACTAATCTATACTAATCCATAATAGGTACTATAAAAGGTTAGATCTGAATGTAAACAGATCTATATATTATAAACAGTTGAAAGGATTGTCGATATTTACTGTAGCTTTGAACAATGTGATTTTGTTTATAAACGGTATGATTTGTTCATGTATATCGAGTTAAAATATATGTTTATGAATCGTTAATAACTTAGCTTGATAATACCGTTGATAACATAGTTTTTCATATTGCTAACTTAAATAAACTGAAATTAGGTGAATAAAAGTCGTATTATAATAATTAATCACTCGGTAATAATCAGTGTCATGTTATCTAGCATTTAGAACTGATTAAACTCGATAAGTCAGATTAAACTTTTCCCTCTAATTTAAATGATCTAATAATGTGATGAACATTGTTTGAAAGTAATTGAAAAGTACTAACTAGCATAAAATTTTGATCTTGGTTTTTATTCAACGAATTATACTACGATATTAAGTCATTCAAACTGCTGGGATATTGGACTAAAATAGTATGAAGTACTGGTCATTTACCATAGTTGTCTAGGTCCCACTAGAAGTCTGTTTCGAGTCGAGTTGCATATTGGCGATGTCTGTGATTGTAAAACTAGATATTATGAGCTTAAACATTACCAACAAACTATCTTTCAGTTAAACATCTTTGTTACGACGTAAATCTAAATCATATGATGATGTATACATTAACTTAGGAGATATTTTCCTATGATATTGTTGAATTAAATCGAGATTCAGTAAATTAATATTTACATCTAAATCAAAGTGATTTATAATATTTGAATAATCCATAGTCGATTGACAGACAAACAATCGAGTATAACAATCATAAATAGTGTAGGCATAGATAATCTGTAAAAAACCCAATATACAGACTAAACATATCATCACTATTGTATAGCATGGAGCGTATCATGTAATACTTTTGGAGAGACCCTGAAAATTCCTTGAAAATGATCCAGTGGGGCCCTTAAAACGCTGAGAAACATCTTATTCAGTCAACACTTAATAGAGGTTTACCAGGAACATTTAGAAAGTGAGAAGTCACATTTCTGATTAGATGACTATCTAACCTGCTACTATGTTTAGAAGGATACCGGGACTTTCCAGAAGCCCAAGGTAATCTAAAATACTATAAATACCATAGATTTTCTGTACACAAAAGTGCCTTAGAGTAAAGTGTTCTCATATATTTCGCACCTTTACTCTCGTGTTCAAGTTGCTGTGTAGATTTATCCTGAGGGTTACTAGAGAAGTTTATGGAAACCGAGCCAAGCGTTCAAATTAAAAGATTGGTCAAATATATCCTGGTTATCAGTATGAGTATTTTATTAGATGGTAGTTGGAAGTAGTCGACAAGAAACCCTGGACCCAGGTTTCGTGCTATTTGGCAATCGTCAGGAAGGTATATCTTGAGGGAACTGGTGCTCCCTGACGCATTCGATCTGCACTAAGAAGGACATGAATCACATGACATTGATCACCACCCAATGACTAATCAATTGTGAGAAAAATTGTATTTCTGACGTTTTGTGACTTAATGTAAGCCACTAAGTGAGAATAAATAAATAACCAACAATTAAATTACCACAAGTTTAATTAGTATAAAAGGGAATAATGCGAAATACTCTGATACACAAATTATTACAGTGACAGGTCATATATATTCACTTTGATTAAGAATAACTTGACATTGACATATTCAAACTTATTATGATTTTGATTGTACCAAAAATATTCTGTATTGTTTCTTTTATACTATTTAAACTTTTGTTAATTTAATTTTGACTATTTATTTACTCTGAAGAAGTGCCTTACCTTAAGTCATGGAACGTCGGAAATATAAGTTTCCTACTGGTTGGGATATAACAAAAAAATATTTTTATCATTAACTCTATCCAATGCTCAATTTATTTGAAATTATCAAGTCCAACCTGGTCACTGATACCTATAACAATTATCTTCATTTCAAGTTGTTTGCTTTCTCTATGAAGAAATAAAATTACTTTTCATTCTTTTTTAAATCTTATGTACGACAGTTAACGTCTAACAAAATATACACTATGATAAATGATGACTAGCACCAGAATCTAGGAAGTGCGTTTCGTTCTATTTGGGATTCGTCAGCTGGATGTACCTGCATCCGTCGATGTAACTTTGGGGTTTGAACCCAGTTTCATTCGCTTCGAAAGCCTTCGCTTCATCCACTTAACTACTGAGTTCAGATAGCCACTAGCTTGTACAATAAGGTGAAGTTTGTTTGAATCTTCTCATTGATGCGTATATCAACTTTGGGACGTAGCTACATCTAGCTGACGAGCCCCAAATAGGACAGAACGCGCGTCCTGGATTCCACTGCTAGATACCATCCATTCTCAGGTTATAATGCTTGTGACTTAAGAAAATGTCGACGCAATCCGTACTGGATGCCCATATGTCAACAACAGAGTGATCGATTGCGGTCCCCAACATCAATTGGAAGATTCAAAGAACCAATAAAAAAATAAATTGAGTTAATATATTTTGTTTATACGTTATACTTCGAGATTCATTACATGATCTCAATTATACAGATGACCGTTTGTCGGATAACTACTATACGTTATGTTACATTCATACTGCTGGATGTCTAAATACCATTTGGACATGTAACTCTGAAACGTTAACGTGCAAACGTTATTTCTGGAAGTATAATTTAGTGTTTGATAAATTTGTGGAGTTGTTTTTAACCCTCCTAACATGTATCATTTCATCAACTGCAAGTAAGCCCTTGTTGTATGGATATCTTTTGCTATGTTTTAAAACATGTTGTAACCAGTTGCTATGCATTTCTCTAGTTTTTGGTTAGCTAAAATATTTTTCATGATTTTTAGGTCCAAGCTATTATAGTTCGGGTATCTGTTTAACCATCATTGATGTGACAGTGACTTATTATTTACCACACTTAGAATTAAAACATTATTGGCGAGTAATATACATTATAAATTATACAAAATACTTTGAGGAATAAGATTGTTATGCCATGCAGCTAGTGAGTTATTTATTTATTTATTTGAACGCATGAATATTGGTACAAGAGAGCGCCAATATATATGCGCCACACAAAACAATGAGGATTCGAAGAGAAATAGAAAAAAAAGCTAAGGAGTGCAAAAAAAGGAAAACAATAACGAAGAGATTGGTGTAAGGTAGTGTGGTAGTAATGAGGGAACGGAAAGGTACAATTAGAAGAAATCTTTCAGGTAAGGGAGACACAACCACTTTTTATGAAAAAAGTAAAAGAAGGTTACAGCAGGATCGCCAATGGCTTCTATTCTGAGCCATATCTGATAACGTCTCTAGCCACTGTGTAGCGCCATCTCTCAGACCCCAAACAGGGAGTCGTGAAGGACCAACAGAAGCCAGTCCTTTGCAGCTTCCTTTCATGCCACGACACCATGTCATGCACTGACCATCTCTCCGCTTCTTCCAACCAGTCCCAGAGTCGGCAAATAATGCACGACGTGAAATTCTCTGGGACGACATTCGTAAAACATGTCCAAGCCACCGAAGTCGGTGTTTCAAGATGGTGACACCAATTGCATTATCATCTCTGTGCCCGAACACACGATGCCGAACCTCTGCATTACTGACATGGTGTTGCCACTGAATGTCAGCAATCCTTCGGAGACAGTGATGATCGAACACAGAGAGTCGTCTAACGTCCTCAACTCGGAGAGACCAGGTTTCGCAAGCATAGAGCAAAACTGCTCTCACCGACGCGTTGTAGATCCGACCTTTTACAGCCAGACTAACATCACGAAGGCGCCAAAGGTGGCCCAGATTGGCATAAGCCGCTCTGGCTTTCACTATACGTGCATTGATCTCATCACTCACACCCCCACCAGCACTTATGCAGCTACCCAGATACACGAACTTCTCGACTACGTCTATCTGCTCAAAAAAGTTTATACAAGTGAATCTAAAATACACATAGTATATAAATGTCTAAAGAACACGAAACTAGTTACTTGTCAGAGAACAAATGTGTCTTAGACAAACAATGGACGTAATTTTATCAGACGATTCGATCATTTAAAGGTAAACAACCAATGAATTACTTAAACCTCGCGCAATCACACCGTAAAACATTAAGTGATTAAATCCTTAAAGAGTATAAATTAGTTAATTGTTGATATACCTCAAACAATCTAGGAACATAATACTATGGTCAAATGACAGCCTCCTGTAATCAATTCAAGCAGCAACAGTACGGACTGAAAGAAGGAATACGATAGAATACATAAACGAAGCGATTGAGTAAAACTAGATTAAGAGGGTCAGTAAAAACTAAACGACGAAAGCGATATATCAAGAAAACCGAAATCGTATGTAAAATAAATAGTAACCTTACATTTAAGGGTTAGGCAAAAGATTAATGTTGAATAAAATATATACATAGAACAATAATCATACATTCAAATACTAAAGACGTTACAATAGTAAGTTATTGCTCTTATTTGACTGTGAATGATGTTCTAATCCTCCTTTTTTATTCGTCAGGTTACTTGTACGAAAAAAAAACAGAATTTTGCGAGTACTGAAAATTTAGCGTTTTTAAAAAAACTGGGTTTTTCAAAACTAATGACCTGGAATTCAGTAATTGAACGGTTGTTAATTAGTCAAAGTACATTTGATAATCAACTGGATGAAAAAGAGAGTGGTTCAGTTGATGATCTTATAATAAGCCCATTCAACTATTTTATTATTTGTTTGCTCACTGTAATTTAGGCATTTAATCCACTATCTAAATTTATGTGTGAGTTTGATTGCATAACAATCTTTATCTATTCTCCAACTGGTTGTAAACACAGACAATTAATAGTTTCATACACATAGTTCCCTTTATCATTTTGAAAAGAGCAAGAACAAACATTCTAGCAGAATAGCATGAATTCATTTTTTATTTCGTTAGTTCTCGTCAGCTGCTTACAACCTGTGGTATTTAAAATCATAATTAATGGGTTTAAATTACTTACATAAAAGAGTTTGATTGGAAGTTATATTAAAGACATATTCATATAGTATAGCAAGGGTGTAAATAAATTTAATAGACTGAATATTGTAAATATATACCTTATGTGATGAAAGAACATTGTGACAACAATTCAAACGGTTAGAAACAAATAAACCTTGATAGGAATAAAATGAGTAGAGTTCAGTTGATAAAATAAGATAGTTGGAATAAAACTCAATGGTGTGATAAATGCAAGAAAGAGTTTGAAGAAAAAGAAAAATAATTAAGATATAACGAAGGAATATTAATCACCAAGGCAAGGAAAGATTAATAACCATCTCCTTTAGAACACAAAAATCAGGCTTTTGGCGCCTGAAGCAACTGCTTCAGCAAACTTCAGAAGACTGGAGTTTGGCTGCTTACTAATCACCTTGAATGATTGTAGGGTATCGACCTGATGTCCTGTATCAAGATGTTTGGTGATTGCACTATTTAGAGTCTTTCTTTCTCTTGTCCTGAGGCTTTTTGGAACATGTTCAAAAAATCTGAGATATGCCCTAATAGTTTATCCATAATCGGTTAACACCCATAAATATATATGGATTTTTAACACACACACACACACACTCAATCGTTTCCCTGTGCACTTGCTTACTGCACACTTGTGCATTTTACTAAACTTCAACAATAACTCATCTCTATAACTGTTTAGGCTTTTATATAATCTCCAGTAAATTCAGAATACTACTAGGAGATTTAGCCTGCGTTAAATACTCAGTTAACGAGATACTACTTATTGGAGTCATATATAGGAGAAATTAACCTCTACAATGTATAGTTTGTCATTAATCTGACTACCACTGTATTTCATAATAAATCTATTCTTAATTAAAACGTTCAATATTAGCTTACCTTTAGTTAATAATAGATTGCCAAACGATAGATGATGTTCAAATAAATAATCACTTGATATAATTGGTCCGAATTGTGGTACATCTTTTGCTCGACAAACAGCTACACTGTTTGATTTAAAAGAAGGTGAATAAAAAACACAAAAAGGGAATTATTTTAAACTATTTTTGTAAACATAATATTTGTGGAAAATAAGTAACAGTAAGTAATGAAATTAGTGTAGAATTGTGGAGATTGTTGAGTTTTGAATGAGATCATGAACCGATCATTGTTAGATCCTCATTGAAAACCTGGAAGCACTGAATGACCGCCTCATCCTAGTGTCATATAATTCGTACACTAAGAAATTTTTGAAATGAGACAAGTGAATTTTAGTATTTTCAGTCAGTAATCTAAATATTGTAATCACTGGAAGATGTGAGATGTGTTGGTTTGATTCTGTGAGATATTGTGGTTATTCAAATGTAAGAAGTTTGGAACTAAGCAGAAACAGTTGTCAAACGTTTCTTGGTTTTGCAGCTATCCTTTTATCAGTTAGTTTTTATCACAAAAAGCCTTGACAACTATTGTTGAACAACTATTAAGTTAAATTATAGCTGTTTTATTCAGAATTAAAGACATTCAATATTTTCATGTCTGAGTGATATCTTTATATTACAGACCTAATTTTCTGTGCCAATCATTAGTCACACACATATAATCACTGCCAAATGTTAATGAGAAATATTCCATAAAAATCATTTGGACAAGTTCTATGGTAGAATTAAATACAGTTAGTGAACTAATATTTAATACCCTATTTCAAATATTAGAAATTGTCTCATTTTATTTATTTATTTGAACACAAAAATATTGATACAAAGGGGCACCTGATACATATGAGACACACAAGTCACTTAATTTGTGTGTGGGCTGTGATACTGCTCGAGTGCCCAGACACCTGGAGTCCTCTACCTAAATGTCTGGTCTATAAGGCACTGAAGCACCGTCAAGAGATGCAGTTCCATCGTAGCCCGTGACCAACGGTTGGTTCATAAGCCGTTTATTTCCTCAGGATCCTGGAGTCCATGTGCACCATTGTTTGGAATCAGGGTTTTCTAATTCCACTTAGTGGATCCTCCATATCCACCAACCCGATTAAAGCACCGGATATTCACTTTTCATCCTCTCAATTTCGTAAACAACAGTAATGCCGTGAGAACGAAGTAACTAGGAGTTTCCTGACAGTGATTGTATACACATGACCATGTGAGAGCATTTCGAGAGGGAGACCTACCTCTCCTGACTCTCGGCTGTACCAGGGCATTTGGGGCCTCATTATCAATGTTTTACTTCTCACTATTTTTTTGATATTTTAAAGATTATGAAGGTTAATCTTGTTTATAACATTTTACAGACTAAATTCAATCTGACAATGTTTTTTTTTAGAAACTTGTCTAATTCTGGTACATTTTAACGTTAAAGTGTTACACCACATCATATTATGATCTAATATTATTCGTTTGAGTTCTATTGGAATCCTACGAATAAATGTTTTGTTTTAGTTAACCAATCTTCAATGCATAAAACAGTAAATACATAGTATTCTGTCAAGATGTTATGATTTGTTTCAGTGGTTTGCTATATCTATGTAATTAATTACTATTACATTAAAGAAAGTTATTAAAACAATATCTCAAATGAATCTGTCTAGATTTCATTCATAGGTAATTTGCTGAAACTCGATATATATTTGTTGGGGTGATCCGGCGAATTTCTCGCAAAAGACAAGCAAGCATCAGGAACCATTAAGAAGCGTTTCATCCAATCAGCGTTCATTTGAAGTTTTAGCCAAAAATATCAAAGAAGCGAAACGTCACATGCAGAGGTTCTGACTGACTGATTGCTACACTGCTACTATGTTTAGTAGCATTCCAGAAACTACTAGCAACCCAAGGACATTTAAAATCTTATAAAAACCCTGTATTTTCTGTATTGAAATGAACCTTGGAGTAAAGTGCTTGTCGCATACTTTGCGTCTTCTCTCTAGTTGTTCAGGTCGCTGAATAGTTCTAGCTAGGGGGTTACAGAATAGCTTAGGAAACGAATATAGCGTTCAATACGCAAGATTTATCATAGATATTCTTGAATCCTTTTCCAGATACATTCATTTTGTTTTTCTGAAGAGTTTATCTTCACAATCTGATTATTGTATCATTCAGCAAGTTTTGTATTGATCAAAATTAAAAATAACAGTTCATATTAATTAGATTTATGTGTAAAATATTTTGAGAAGACTGTAATGTAAAGTGTATCTGTCATAGTGTAGAATAATAATTATGTATGTATATATATGTATATTAAATTCTTTATTCTAGTAAGTGCTTTATTCGCAAGGTTGTTTCCTACGAGATATTTTTAATAACTCCATGTTCAACCCTCCTCTTTTAATTGCAGTAATCCTGAAAAAGCTACAGGCGGAGAACACTAACCCAATCACACATGTTGGAGAAACTCTGGAAGAGATCGTAACCTTCATGTACCTGGACAGAATTATCGATAAACAAGGAGGATCCGATGTACAAGTAAAGGTGAGGATTGGCAAAACAAGAATAGCAATCCTATGGTTGAACAACATACACTACTCAAAACAACGGTCAACCAATATCAAAGTCACAATACTCAATATGAACGTAGAGACAATTCTACTAAACAGAGTTGAAACTTCCAGAACTACCAAAATCATCATCAAAATGTACAAGTATTTAGAAACAGTTGTCTACGGAAGATACTCAATGTCCGTTGGACGGATACTATCAACAATAATCTACTGTGTGAGAGAACGAAACGGCTCCCAGTTGAGGAAATCAAGAAATGACGTTGGTAGTAGATAGGACACACATTGAGGAAATCACCAAACTGCATCACGAGGCAAGTGCTAATTTGGAATCTTGAAGGGAAACGGAAAAGTGGAAAGTCGATGAACACACTACGCGGAAAACTGGAAACAGAGATGAAAAGAATGAATAGCAAGTGGAATGATCTTGAAATGATTATTGACGATGGGGTTGAATCGAGAATACTGGTGAGCGGCCTATACTCTACCACGAGGTGTAACAGGAGTAAGTGCTGTATGTATATATATAAGTACATGTGGAAAATCTATGTAATTAAACTTACCGATAACCAAATTTATAATTATTCTTATCATCGACATCATTATTTAAACGAATATATTTCACTATAATGAATACTTTTTGAAATCCTGAAATTATTGTATCCGGTTGAAATGGCATAGCATCTTCTTCAACAAATATAAATGTGACAGATGAATTACCAATATGTCGTTTTCTAGCTAACTATATATAAACAAAATGAATTATTAGAAATGAAATATATATATATATATTAAGTAACCAACATGTAACCAACTGTTATTATTATTATTATTATTATTATTAGCTTTATTCAATATTATATTTTTGGTACAATATAGAACTCTCAGCGCAAAGTATTTCAACAAGTTTCCGTTTCTTTCTTCTTGGTCGGTCCTGGCGATAAACATTGAGTGAGCGCCGGTTAGATGTTAGGAGTCCAGTAAATGAACATCCGAATAATGTGCATTCTTCTCGTTGTATATTGCCAGCAACCACTTTGCCTCTTATTGAGTTTTTTGTAACTTTGACAACGAAAGGTTGTACACTTTTCAGAAACGCAGCAGAATAGGTTATGCGATTAATAAACATAATGATATATTAAAACAAACAAAAATAGAAAACTTGTTGATATATCTAGATGGCAGGGACAGGTAGCCCAGATGCTCAAGCAGGCCGCCCTTTATGTAATAAACAAATAAATGATTTTGAATATATAAGTACTAAATGGAAGAGTAAAAAAAAGTAACTAATATGTATAAAACGTTACTATTAGTTACTTAAAGTGAATTAAGTATAGTTAAACTTTGATTTATGTAACAAAGGTATTTACTGTGTTTGTGTCCCTATACTCATATAGTCTATAGTGGGAAACGTAGAAATTGGAGTGTTAAACATTATGTAATAAATAAATGTTACATAGAATGAACTATACAGTGTTACGTTCTGTGACTATTTAAGCTATTCGAGCTGTAGAACGAAGAATGAATAAATAGCTTTTATTGACTAACCGAGTCGAAAGTGTCATAATAACTAACTCAGTCACTAGGTGCTTAGATATAGACTAAACTTGAAGTATGAGGGCGTATGGTACTATCTGGTTACCCCGAATTGAAGTATGTGAATTTAGATTTCAGCATGGAAATTGATGGGTGAAAGTAGAACGTTGTAACCAGTAAGCCACCGCTTCAGAATACAGATACAGTGCATTCATAAATATAGATATTTGTTCCTCAGAAAATAAAAGCATATTTCCAAGCAATAGTACACTACATTTTCTCAACAAATGGCGTGAGCTCTTTATATTCTCTTGCATAAGATTTGACGTGAACCTCATTGGCCTAGCGCATCATTTAGCTAGGATGTTCTAAACTGAAGTAATAAGTTATTCATCTTCAGCGAGCATTACTTAATGATCGAAAGAAATGTTATATAAAGCTGTATTTGATGGGTATGATTCGGAATGTGAAAAAAGGAATGAACATAATATTGATCAACAGATGGGCGTAATGATATAATGTGTTTGATTAATGACTGCTGACGAAATCAGTTAATTCACGTAAACTGCCGAACAAACTAGTAGTTAAGTGAAGATGACTGGTTTGAAAAGTTTCGTGTATTGTAAAATAGTAAGTTCATAAACAAATTATTAAGAGAAAAGTATACATGATAAAATGTCACAGATTAAATGTCATCGTTCACAGTTCATGGTGATTAGACCTACTTCCCCCATCATCATGTCAAACACAAACTGTAAAAATAATGATTTCTAGATTCTATTTCGATAAATGAAGTGTATAACCGACTTTTAGTTACTACTCAGTTTAAAAAAATGAAAAAAAGGATTCATTCAAAAAAGTACATCAGGATAACGGATATGATAGAAAGTTATTTTAATTTTAAATACATTATTATGCAATTTAATCAATCGATTTGCTGATCGGTACTATATATATATATGTCAATGGAGTGGTGTTTCCTGGTTTAGTTTGGTTACAGAGCTTTCATCATCATTCCTGAACAGTATTATTAGCAACTACTTCACCTAAAAGTCAGCTTTTCAGTTATTTTATAAATTCTTTAAGTCGTTCTGATGATCTTGTTTGGGACTGATTTTTCGTATGTTTTATGTCTTCGTGTTTTCTTGCATTTATGTTGACTGTTTTTATCGGCTAACGTTTAGTCTTGTGATTGACTAACCCAGTGCTTATTGGATCATAGTTTAAATCTTTATCGAATATCATACTTTTAAAACGTTAATGATATTCATAAGGTGAACTGATGCAACATCTGTGTGATAATAGCAAATCATATTGTTTTTTACGTGAAGTAGTCGTTAATGATGTTGTCTGGAATGACAATTAAAACTCTTTAATCAGACCATCTCGGTCAGAAATCGCAACATCACCAAATGCATCATATATATATATATATATATATATATATATATATATATATATATATATAATGCCATAACTGTTTATTTTAGTTTTTAGTATCCAGCTGCGTGATCTTCAAAATTTTTAAATATTAGAATTGAGTAATTAGATAAAATACTTTAGAAAAGATTTTATCAAGTAGTGTTTCAATACACTTGGTATTGTTTGGCTTTTGAAGCGAATATTACTGGGTTGGAGTCCCATAGTGAACGTCAACTCTGAGATGCAGGTACATCTAGCTGACGAGTCCCAAATAGGACGAAACGCGTGTCCTGGATTCCACTGCTAGCCACTATCCATCATTGCTTACGAATAGTGTTCCAATAGTTTACATACTACAATGTAGTATCTCAAGCACACGGGGTGTTGACATAGACGTTTGCTTTGACAACAAATCAACATTGATTAACAGATGTAATAACTTTTGTTCATACATCTACGTTGCATGCGTGAATGTGCTCTACTGAAGAATCCTATTCAAGGACGAAGAAGCTATTTTTCTATATCATAATTTTCACTGGTTGTCTGACTTAGATCGTTTCGTTATTTCACTGACAGATACAAATTTTGAGTTACATATTAATTGTATGTGGATTACTTATTCTACCAAGCTTCTTAAATCAGAATATGTGAACAAAGTTTACGTCTTCTGCTTACTAGTTAAATAATCGGTATTTTTAATATGTAAGCAATCTTACTCCACAGACAAAGTTAACTATATTGACTAGAGCACTTAATATAGAACTGTTAGGTAACACAGTAGAAGACACAGACATTCATTCCAGTTGAGAATGACAAAAAGTGACGCCAAGATAAAAATCATCATCAAAAAAGTAACATAAAATATGACATCTTAACATATCTGTAAAAGATAGACGTAACATTGCATATGAATATTATGATGCAACTTCAAAACATGTTTGTAAGCATGTTACATTGTTACTCTTACTCTATAAGACAAACAGAAATGTTGAAAGTAATTAGTTGATACATTCCATTGAATTGTTATTACATTTATATTTTATTGGTCTTTAGTACTATTGTTTCTACGGGTTGACTTAACTGGGATATCAACCAAAAAACTAATATTTAACTTATAAGAATTTGTTTAGATCGTTAACTGTCGTTTAATTGATTATCGTCATTAATTTACTAAGGCATATAAACTTTGCATATTTAGCGTATAATATTTTTGTATCCATTGGTAACCATTCAAAACAACAACATATTATTTACGATATAAGGAGTTTGCAGAGATTGTGGAATCTTATAGTTAGCATCTAGTATTGAGCTTAGTTAAACAAGCATTAAATGAATTGAACAGCTGTTTAATGCTAGTGTGGAATTTCTTAGCAGGGCACATCCATGATCATACTAGAGATTAAATATAGGACTTTTTGGCTTTAAGGCTAGCACTTAACCATTACACCACTGAGTGAAGACTCATTTGTATACATGTATTATAATAAGAGTTGTGTCTTTGCCTAGAATATTTTAATTTTTTAGCATTCATTTTGACATTGATACGTATCATGAATCAATGTCCTGTCTTAGTTTAATTCATGATAGATCATCTATCGAAATCTATTAAAGCTTATTTTCTTTAATACACAGCTACGTTTAATACGAAGTTTAAATTATGATGGTTTAGCGGGCCGATATTTTGACGTCAATTAGAGCGTACGATGTTATCGACAGTCTCATCACATTAGTGGTTCAATATCTGACTGCAGTTGGATTGTACGAATGATCGTTATTAAAATATAAATTCTGACTATTCTCGTATATAGTTATGGATTTAATGTACGTTAGTGAATAACCGAATTAAATAAGTCAAAAACGAAAATGGAATTCGAATACGTATATTTCATACAATCCTTGATCCAGAAAAAAGATCGGAGAAACGAAGCTTTGAAGGCGTAAAGAAGAGAGAGAAGCGAAACGAGATGGCGCTCAGTGCCAACTCGACTTAATCAAGCGTTGATCAGTATTTCTAATCACACAAAAACAAGCTATAGACATGTGATTAGTAGGATAAGAAGTGCACATACATACGCTCATATAAAAACAGTCAGGGTTGATAACTGAATCAATAGCAAGGTTAAAATATGACTCCAGTAGAATGGATAAATTGTTCTGTTCAGAAGTTAGAATAAGTTATATGGGCTTAACATAGTAACCAACACTACAATGGAGTATAGTGAAGTCTGTATATAAATCGTATAAAATCGCATGTTAATAATATGTTACTATATATTTCTGAATGTTTTTCAGTAGCTGACTAGGTCATACAATGTTGCAATATTTAGGGATTCTATTAATTAGTTACTGAGGCCCACTCATTAATTGTTATCAGTGATTGTTGACTTTGGATGAAATAATAGAATCAGTAGCACTGGTAAATTTCATTCATTTAAAAAAGAATCATCCTCTAAATTGAGCAACATTACTAACATTTAATTCAATTTGTTATCTTTGAACCATATATTACTGATAATTATACGTTCATTGAAATGGAAACTGATTCTTAACGATTTCTACCTTATTTTGTTATTATTCTTTGTTTTCACTACGCTAACATAGTGAACAAACACTTAGGTGTGGAGAAGCAATTTATGGTTTACTGCACAATCACATAATAGTTTAGTAAAGTATGAAAATCCTACATCAAGTACATTATTTGCACATCTTCTTTGAATTGTCTCTTACAAGCTTCATTATTCTTTCATTCCTATTGTTATCTTGACTACTATCAGTTTCCTTCCCTTTTTCGTTTCATTTCAATGTTCTCAACCTTCTTCTTGCAAACATTACATTTCCCACTGATATTACATACTACTGATATCTGCAAACATAAGTAACAACATTCACCATACTAATATATCAAAAATGACAATATTAACTGGTACACAATCAGTTTAAACTGTAAATTTATAATTAATTGATAGAGAAATTCATACTATAACTACTCCATAGTTCAATTTTTGCAGCCTTTATATTACAGATTCATTAAAAGTGAAACTATTATTGACTTTAATTCATAGAATAATTAATTTCACGTTTAATCTTGAATTGTAAAACAAAACAGTTATATATATATATATATATATATATATATATATATATATATATATATATATATATATATATATATATATATATATATATATATATATATATATAACTTTCAATTAAGAGTTCAACTTTTTACCTGTTCTGTTTTATTAGGTTCATATGGAAGAAGTGTAGATACAAGGAATACAATATTTGTTCCACGAAATTCAGTAACATATGTCTCCAATCCAGTTGAGTCATCTAAAAGTGTGGAGATAGAATTACATTTTAGAAAAAAAAACCATGTACTTAGATACATGTTCAAACATATATCTATATATAACATAGAATACCATGGTTCTGACTTAACAACTGAAATGCAACTATGCAAAAATGTTCAATTATTGATTGATTTTCATTTTAAATGTTATTTTCTCTGATTTATGATATTGGATCATTTTGTTACTTTATAATAACCATTCATTATGTAACTTCAAGAGTAACTCTAATCATTAGAAGTAAATTCTGATATTTTTATAATGAAGCAGAAAACAGTTATATCATCACTAAATTCTTAACCCTGTAATTTAATTATTATTATTATTATCTAATTATTTGAATGAAGGTCAAAATGAATCATAAAATGTCTTGTATTATTGAAAATAGTACATTCAACTTTGATCTATAGATTGAATAGTACAAAGATATTATAAATGAAAGTTATTCATAAAATAGTTATATTGTATTGTCGGTTATTATGTTAAACCGATATACTTTATTCTACGTTTCGGACATACCATTTCATTCATCTTACTTGAGTCACATTCTGACATTGTTAATTATTCGTTTATCAATTTTGACTGTTTTTATATGAGCGCGTAGGTGTGTGTACATTTCTTATCCCATTACTCATCCACATGTCTGTAACTTACTTTTGTGTAACTATAAATATTGATCAAGGCTTGTTTAAATGGGAGTTAGCTTACCCGCCATCTCCACTGTACGTCGTTTCTCTTCTTTCTATTCCATTCGCTTTATATACAAAATATATGTATTCACAAGTCCATTCTCGTCATTCGACTTATTTAATTCCGTTATTGACTAACGCGATTTAAGTCGATGATTATGTGAGAGGATAGGTGACATATATATTTCAACAACAATCATCATTACGATCTTCTTGCAGTTAGATCCACGGGCCACTAAAGAGGAGAGCCCTTTTGACAACATCGTTCGATCTAAATGACGATTAAATAACGGGCCTCCACAACATTTTAAATGATAATCAATCATTGACTTGAGTCTTGACAAAATTGTCAACACCAATTCAGTTATAATGTTCTAATGTAATGAAGAAAAAAACGTTTGTTTTCTTGTCATTTTGGGATTAACCGAGAATTCGCTGTCTACTACCATTAAATTACATTCAAATCAAAAGAGTTATGAATGATACAACATTTAATTTTGATGACGTTTCGTTCTCATCCATCTGAGCTACAAATCTTCTCCATCATCTTAACAACATTCAATAGATAACAAGCACTTATTAAGTTAGAAAAGGCTACCAACGTAGAAAAGTTTAATTAATCACTGTATACTTATAAGTGTGAGGATAGGCATACATTTTAGATGTTCAGTAAAATCATATCTAGTATTTTGAAGCATTTTCTCACTCATTAAGTATATCAGTACTGCAAATAAGTATGCTATTCTCATTTTAATCATTTAGAAGGTAACTACTTTTTTATCTCCTGTGTACAGGTCACTGCTAAAAATTCCGATTAAACAGATCAACAAAAAAAGGAAACAAAATGAAAAGTGTAGCTTTAAATGAAATTCACATAGAAAATTATGTTTTTACAATCACCATTCATTCAGTCATTGAACAAAGAAATGCCAAATGTTGTACACTTATTCAATATTGTGAAATAGATGAGCTACTAACTAACGGATGCGTATCCTATACCACTAACAGCGATATCAAAAGTTATTTTCATCAATATATATATAATTTTAATGTCAGCTGAAACCCAGTTTTCTAGAGCTTGACAATCCCACGTTGTTGAAATTCTCTCACTATTTAAGAATGATAATCAACATTTAGTAACTTCAGTTCTGCACAAATAACCGGATGTTAAATGATACCTTAAAAAAGAAATGGTTCACAGTTGAAAATCTTTTTTTTCTGTTTATAACTATACAAATAGCAAATTGTTCATTCATTAATAAACCACTAGCAGCTGAAATAAATTTTAAAAAGTATATTTTTTTAAAACTTATAGTAAATTACATTTTTTTGATTGAGATCATGAAGCGATCAATGATAGACCACCAATGAAACTATGTGGGTATTGAACAGCCTTTTCGTCCTGATATGTTATGTACACACCAATGATACCAATGAAGACGATAAAGACCAGTTCTACGAGAGGCTGCAGTCGATCATAGAGAAGTGCCCAAGAAAGGATCTCATCATCCTGACTGGAGATCTAAACGCTAAAGTTGGCATGAACATCAACGGTCATGAAGATATCATGAGACGACACTGACTAACTGGGAGAAGCGAATGGAAATGATGAAAGCTTTGCAAATCTATGTGCTTTCAACAAACTGGTTATAGGAGGCACAATATTCACACACAAACGCATGCACAAAGCTACATGGATCTCACCGGACCACACTACGGAAAACCTGATAGATTATATTTGCATCAGTAAAAAATTCACAAGGTTAACATAAGATGTGAGAACAAAGAGAAGAGCTGACATAAGTTCAGATCACCACCAACTGATGGTTGCCAAGATGAAACTGAGGGTAAAGAACCACTGGACAGCTGGACAAACAGCATAACAAACGTTCAACAGAGCCTTCATACGAGATACTGAAAAACTCAACGAATTCAGGATAACTCTCAACAACAGGATTCAAGCCTTACATCATCAACTCAAAAGAGAGAAAACTACCATGGAGAACAAACAAAAGCGATCAAAGAAGCCCTAACTACAACGTGTCAAGAGATTCTATACCCCAAGAAGTGTAATCATAAGGATTCGATCTCTATTGTCATTCTGAACAGGATTCAATAAGAAAGAGAGAAAGAACAAGGAGACAGAAATTAACAACAGTCGGACAAGAACAGAAGGAGCCAAGGCACAAGCTGAATACACAGTAGCGAAGAAGCGAGTGAAGAAGAGTATTGGAGCAGACAAGCAGAACTACATGGAAGACCTAGCAACGACAGCGGAAAAAGCTGAGACAGAAGGGAATATCAAACAACCATATGACACGACAAAGAAACAGGAAGGTAAATATAGTAAACCAAAGAGACCGGTCAAGGACAAAAAATGCAAACCAATCAATGAAATTCAAGAATAGAGGAAAAGTTGAGTGAAATACTTTGAGGCACTCTTGGATAGACCAGCTCAATTGAATCCACCCGATATTGAAGCAGCACAAACACATTTTCTAATATCTGTCACCCCACCAACGATCAAAGAAATCAGTATGGCTATCAAACAACTCAACAGTGGGAAAGCAGAAAAACCTGACAATATGCCAGCCGAAGCACTAAAGTCAGACATAGAAGTAACTGTAAAAATGCTTCACGTTCTAATCTGAAAGACTTAGGAGGAAAAACAAGTGCAGGTTGACTGGAAAGAAGGAAACCTCATCAAGATACCGAAAAAAAGATCTGAGCAGGTGTGAAAACTACTAAGGCACCACACTACTATCGGTACCAGGAAAGGCTTTTGATAGAGTATTGTTGAACTAGATGAAAGACTCAGTAGACGCCCGACTTTGAGATCAACAGGCTGGACCCCATAAGAATCGGTCGCCAACAGATCGAATCGCCACACTACGGATCATCAAATGGAACTCGTCACTAAACATCTACTTCCTTGATTATGAGAAGGCATTTAGCAGTGTGAATAAGAGAACATTATGGAAAATTCTTTGACACCATAGTGTGAGTAGCTGTGAAGATGGTGAGCATAATACGGAATTCATACAATGGACTACATCGCGAAGTCGTGCATGGAGGACAGCTCACAGATGCATTCCAATTGAGAACCGGCGTCAGACAAGACTCCTTTCTCTTTCTTCTCATGGTTGACTGCATTATGAAGACCTCCACATCTGACGGGAATCATGGAATAAGATGAACAGGTTAGATGCAACTAAACAGTTTGAACTTCTCAGATGACCTGACCCTTCTACCACATACATATCAACAAATGCAGGTCAATACAACCAGTGTGGCCTCAAAATACGTAAGGGAAAAAGCAACATCCTCAAATACGACACAGAGAACATCAATCCAATCCCAATTCATGGAGAAACTCTGGGAGACGTGGAAACTTTCACGTAGCATCCTCGATGAACAACGAGGATCCAATGTACAAGTAAAGGTGGGGATTGGAAAACACGGATAGCAATCCTATGGTTGAACAACATACACTACTCAAAACAACGGTCAACCAATATCAAAGTCACAATACTCAATATGAACGTAGAGACAATTCTACTAAACAGAGTTGAAACTTCCAGAACTACCATAATCATCATCAAAATGTACAAGTATTTAGAAACAGTTGTCTACGGAAGATACTTAATGTCCGTTGGCCGGATACCATCAGCAACAACCTAATGTGTGAGAGAACGAAACGGCTTCCAGTTGAGAAGGAAATCAAGAAATGACGGTGGTAGTAGATAGGACACACATTGATGGCATCATCAAACGGCATCACGAGGCGAATGCTAATTCGGAATCGTGAGGGGAAACGGAAAAGTGGAAAGCCAAAGAACACACTGAGCGGAGAATTGGAAACAGAGATGGAAAGAATGAATAGTAACTGGAAGGAAGTGGGAGGGATTGTCGAGGACAGAGTTGGGTGGAATGTAGTAACAGGCCTACGTAATTACGTAATTAGCTGTGGTGTTTGGTGAAACTATAATTTATGGACGACCTTTGTGAGATGCTAACATAACCTTGAGAATGTCTACCTACTAACTGGATTTCAATGAGGTTTATAAAGCAGTGTGAATAGTTAGAATCATGATTTACAGTTGATTGTTAGGAATTAGATCGAGATTTTTCATCACGAATTGATATCAGCTAAAATCTCAAAACGCTACTTGTCCAAATAGATGGATGAATTTCATTCCAGAATCCAAGACCTGTTATCTTATATCTGATTGATTCGTCCCTGAATTATAGGCTCGCTTGTTGTTTTGTAAAGAATTACATTCATTCAATAGTTGAAGTTAATGATTTGTTAGTAACATATCAATAGTATACACATCAAACCGTGTTTTCACTTATATAAGAGGTTAATGTTAAACCAAAATGCAGTATATTTAAAGACTTATCTCCCCTATCCCACAATCATTTATATTACTGAATTTTCATAATATTATGAATTGTGGAATATACTTGAAAAAGTGAATATATTCATGAAGTAGGAATTTATTCATTTCATTTCAAATTACAACAGCTTCATCGAGTAAATGTGTCTTAATTTCGATCTATTCATATCTCTCACATCTAGAAGCGTATTTTGTATTATATCCGTAATAATATAAAATAATTTAAGTCAGTCCAAATAATGATAGGACCTTTAAAACAATTATTACCTTAGATAGTGTAATAAGAAAAAAGATTATTACAGTACTTGAAATGAATTACGGTAATAATATCGTATAGTTCTGATAATCTTCATCTCCTTATTACATCATACAAAATCACAGGATAATTGACAACTAATTAGAGTGACTAAACATGCTCAAATGAAGTTGTTGTCAGCTAAAAAAAGAAATTATTTAAAGTTTATTTTTGAAGTAACTAGAATGTCCTGTTATCTACTGTTTTACTGGAATTTCGATCGTACATATATGACTACTGAATCTATTAATTTTTCTCTTAACAATATAAAGTACGCTCAGAAAATTAACGTATACAGTGATACTTGAACGGTGTCATTACTTACTAATTACTTATGCCTGTTACTCCCAATAGAGCATAATTCACTGACCAGCATTCTCCAACGCACTCTGTTCTGAGCCTTCATTTCTAGTTCTATCCAATTCTTGTTCATTCTTATCATGTCAGTCTCCATTTCTCGGCGTAATGTGTTCTTTGGTTTTCCTCTTTTCATTTCACATTGAAGATTCCATGTGAAGGCTTGTCATGTGACGCAGTTGGGTGCCTTCCTCAATGTGTGTCCAATCCGCTTCCAGCGTTTCTTCCTGATTTCTTCCTCCACTGGGATCTGGTTTGTTCTCTCCCACAGTACGTTGTTGCTAATTGTGTCCGGCCAACGGATCCGAAGTATTTTGCGTAGACAACTGTTAATAAACACCTGCATCTTCTGGATGATGGCTTTCGTAGTTCTCCAGGTTTCTGCCCCATACAGTAGGACTGTCTTAACATTTGTATTGAAAATCCTGACTTTGGTGTTGGCTGACAGTTGCTTTGAGTTCCAGATGTTCTTCAGTTGTAAATATGCTGCTCTTGCTTTGCCGATCCACGCCTTTACATCTGAATCAGATACACCATGTCCATCATTGATGCTGCCCAAATACGTAAAGGTTTTTACATCTTCCAAATCTCCGTCAATTTTGACTGGATCGGTGCATGCTGTGTTGTATCGGAGAATCTTGCTCTTCCCTTTATGTATGTTGAGACCTACTGCTGCTGAGGCTGCTGCTACACTAGTCGTCTTCTCCTGAATTTTTTGTTGCATGGGCGATAGAAGGGCCAGATCTAGACCGTACAGCTGCATCCTAGCTACTGTGGCACCAAATAAGTGTTCTTTTAACATTGATAATCAATCAATAGACAATAGTACTTAGGGATTTAGTAGTAATCGTATCTGCTGAAAATATATGTGTAGAATTTGAAATAAGAATGTTTAGTTATTAGCGCTGAAAAAAATTATCAAAGAGACAACTTACTCCGATAGTCCAATCCGCCAATATATCCAGAATAGTTACGAAGACGAACTTTACGACCTAAAAGCTTTAAAAATTCTTCAAATTCTGGTGTTGAGTGTTCTGAAATAAATATATAAATAAAAAAGTAAATATTTATATTTATAATCATTTATTACTAAATTTACAGTTATCAAAATGATAATGACTGAATAGAAAGTTTTTCATGAAATGGTATAATCTTATCAAATACTAACCATCTCCTTCACTCTTATTTTTCTCCTTGTATATCTTCTGGTAGAACGAGACATAATTACATTTAAATCCATGCACGCAAGCAAAAGTATAAAAATTCTATAATACCTTATCTAGTAAATATACTCTGTGACGAACAGGTTGTTAGAGTTAACCTAGTCAATAACCTGTATTCTTAAACATATCTTTAATTTCGAAAGTTGTACAGTTTCAGGTCTTTTTTCATCTTTCCCCCCTTTTTTTGTTTTGTGTTTTGTGAAAGAAACTTGTTGAAATACCTTGTGCTGAGAATTCTATATTGTACCAATATTTAATATTGAATAAAGCCATTAATAATAATAAATCCTGAATTCATTTCATGATAAACAGTTATTTCATTTCTCATAGCTGATAAATGGTATATATAGAATGTAGGAGTCAGATCCTACCTGAAGCTATTATTCCTTCAACATAAATTTTCAATACACATCAACTACAATACAATATAGATCAAAGGCATTTATCTGAATGTATGTTTGAACTTAGATCTGTGAAACATAGAAGCTTTTTTATGTCTACTGAGTTTGTTATCTAAATGCAGGCTTAACCTTTAAACCACTGAGCCAGTATCCAACGGTGTTAATGTTGATGATAGTTATGTGGATAATATATTGTCATTTAAAATGATAAGTACTGGATTTGATTATATTCGTGAAAATCTTGTCGATGAAATGTAGTTAAACCTAGCTGAAATGTTTCAAATAATTCGAAACGTACTTTTTGTCACTCCATTGATAGCCACAATTTATCTTGGAATATTAGGTTTTATATCGTGATATCGTTAAGGTAATTTTAATCTTTTAGAAATATAAACATTATTTCTACATTCATTGTAAATAATTAATAACTAGGACCATGTATACTTGTACTCCTACCTTTTCAATTACTGATAATGAGTAATTCATTCATATATGCATATGTACATATAAATATCTAATAGATTATTAATTAAGAAACGATACATAAATATTTACGTTTATTGTAAACTATCTGATATCTATGATATATTCGTAACTGGGTGATAATTAATTTTAACGGGAAGGGTTTGAATCATGCCTATGTTAAACATTATGGATATGGGACAGACTACATTTGATTGTCTAATTTAAGAATATATGATAGATATATATTCATAAATTGATAATATTCTATGCAATATGTTAAAAAATAAACAGAATAAATAAATCTTATTACGTAAAACTATGCATAGAGAATCATATACTTGGATACATTGAAGTCTGTAATATGGACCCTTGAAACTAGTTTATGAATATATCAATTTCATGGTTTGATTGAATCAATCTTACGACATTACTGACAAAATATGATTTTTTAAAAAGTCATATTTTTACTAAAGTTTGAAAATGTTAGATCCTCAGAAACCACGTGGTAAACGTAATATTTTTATAAGCTTTTTTGAAAATTTGAATTTCGCCAAAAGCGCTTAGTTTCACCTTCGGATTGTATTTCCCACTTGGAAAGACCTTAAAATGTTATTGGTTCGTTCCCTCTTTTATTACATTATTTTGTTATGTTTTCCCAGGACATTTTTATAAGGTATATATACGCTAAAGTTGTGTGCTTGTTTGTTAATGCTTCTGGCTACTTGTGGTATATATCTTTCACTCTGCTGAACCTAGTCTTCTACATCTAGTTATCAGCTCTGGGGCATATCGGAATAGTTTAGCTTATCTTGTCGTTGTGCTGTCGATCCTTCACTCTGTTTGCCGACTTAGGTGATATCGTAACCCCTTCAAACGTAGTACTAACCCTATTTTGAGTGAAATCATGAAGAGACTCATTGGAATAAATAATATAAATAGTAATTTCTTTTGATCTATTTTTATATGTGGAGTATTAGAAACATCAGAATGAAACACTTAACTAATAATGGGGGTGATTAATTTTATGTTTTTCTTCTTTTGTTCTTGTAAACATTATGGATGATGGTAAGAATCTTCTAGATGGTTAGTGTCAACTAGTTAATGAATTCTTCGACAGTGATTTCAAGAATATTCCTTTAGTTTCCTTCCACAATATTTAATTAGCATAAATCACTTCATTAAACTTACTTTTGTTTCCATATATGCAGTCTCACTCTTCATACTAACATTAGTTAGTATAAATGACTAGATATAATTATCATTGATGATTCGTTGTGTAAGTAGGAAAATGTCTCATTTTTCTCAAGCATTCTACTGAACATGGAATATAGTGGTGTGAGAGTATACAACACAAAATTACTTGTTATGCTCATTTATTATTGTTTATAATCATGACGTTGGATGGTAGATTACTCACACTTGATATGACTGGACCCAACTAGTCAAGGGAAACTCAGACTCAATGATCCAGAGGTTGTATGCCTTTACCTAAGCAAAATTTCTTCAGTTGTGTAAGTGCACAACTGAATAGTCACGCTGTAGAAAGACACAGCTGTCGAATGCTTTCAACCTGGTGTTTCACAATAATTCAGGTAAAATAATACCATTTCAATTAGTTTTTATCTTTTCATTTTGATACTAAAAAAAGTTACTTATCAAACTGTCTATTGATAAATATGATGTACATTTTAATATCATAGAAGAAATACGCTAAACTGAAATACCTTCATATTAATGCTTTTACTTTTTAATCACCATTAAGAAAAATTACAATTAATTTTGAACCATGGTACAAGAAACTTAAAGATTGATTCAATGGTTGGTATGCTTATAGTGAACAAGAATACTAGTGGGGACAATAGAACGTATTTGAGCACAAAATTACAGAGCATCTCAATAAAATCTGAGAACTATGCTCAACATGCTAAATGTCCATCAGCTGAAAATGTACTTTCTTTTTTTTTTTCATCTCAATACAATTCCAAATAGGCTAATGTTAAATATATTTTGTTGAACAAAGTAAAATAGATTTTAAAATGTTATTCTTTTTAAAGTTATATAAAAAGAAATTAGTCTATTCGCGAATTTCTACGTATATAAAAAATTACATTTTTATGAGGAGTTGGTTCACAATTTCATATTGAAATGATTATCTATCTAGAGGGTCAAATACGTATATAAAATGAGAATAGAATAAATATATATTCAAGAAGGAGGTTTTGTGGAGATAGTAGTAATTTAATAGTTGAATTTATTAGTCGATTAAAGCTAGACCATCATGAAAAACTCGGAAGCACTGGACGGCCTAGTATGGGACTCCTCAGAGGTACGCATCCACGATCCTGCTCACGGGATCCGAACCCAGGTCCTTCGGTCTCGCGCACGTACGCCTAACTTGTAGACCACGGAGCCAATATTGAACGATGTTAATGTCTAACTTCAACCAATCCACGATATTGCGCTACCGTCCACCACTGCCTTCAGTGAGTAACTGCCTCACGACAGACACGGATGAACTCCACTAGTCATGGCTTCTAACTAGAACTCCAGGAAATACCTATTAAAGCTAATCACTGGTGATCAAATGATGATCATTATCAAAAAGGAGGTTTTGTGAAAATTGTAGTAATTTAATAGTTAAATTCATGAGTCGATACTGAGCGTCTTGGATTTGGATCCTGAGAGTGTGATCGTCGATGCGCACTGCTGAGGAGTCCCATACTAGGCCGTCCAGTGCTTTCGGGTTTTCCATGGTGGTCTAGCTATAATCGACTCATGAATTCAATTGTTACGTAAATTTATTTAACAATAGAAAGGAGGTGTTCTCACCTTTAATTATAATTAAATAATTACTTATTTATTGTATAATTATCACTTCAAATAAAAATTACGAACGTTTCGAAAATTATTACTTGTACAGTTTTACTATATTAACACTAGATATGTAATCATCCAAGGTTATTCTGTCATTTTAAATATATCATAACTTGGCCAAAGTATACACATGTATTAATATGAATTATGATGAATAAGTAACACCAGAAAGATGGTTCATCGGTTGCTTAACAAAACAAATGTCATCAGAAGGGGTTTGTGGATATTTTAGAAATTTCACAGATTGAAATCATGAGTCAATTGAAGCTAGACCACCATGGAAAACCTGGAAGCACTGGACTAGTGACTAACTTCTAGAGATACTCCTGGAGTTCTAGTGAGAAGCCGTTATCAGTGGAGTTCAACCAGGTCTGTTGTGAGATATCAGCTCACTGAAGACAATGGTGTACGGTGGCGCAACTTCGTGGATTGGTTGAAGTTAGACATTAACACCACTGGATGCCGGCACAGTGGTCTAGTTGGTTAAGCGCCTGGCACAAACCAGATAGGTCCTGGGTTCGAATTTCTCGGGGTGCGGGGTTGTGGATGCGCACTGCCGGCGAGTCCCATGCTTGGACGAAACGGCCGTCCAGTGCTTCCAGTTTTTGCATGGTGGTATAGCTTCAATTGACTCATGATTCAATCTGGGGAAAAAATGTCACCAAACGTTTGGAGTCACAATTTACGCGCTAAAATATCTTGAAACATTTAGCCATAAAATTTGCTCATCATTATCAACTAAGCTGACAAAACTGTACTATAAAGCAGAAATTGAATCCAATTCAATCGGTGAGTTTGTCAACCAAACATTATTCTCACAAATAATATTTTGATATGCAAGTGTTTATCTTCTTAACTTTACATTTGAATTAGAACAATATTTTTAGTATTGCAGCCGGCATTATTCGATAAAATGGAACGAATTACTTATTTGTAATGTGTATCATATTAGTATGCAAAATATGATGAAGAATCTGCGTGAAACCAGTTGACGAGTAGCAACCTCCATATAATCTGATTTTTTAAGAAATTTTACGAATCTCCTTCGATTGGCAAACCTTTAAACATGTT